ATTGACCCTAAATCATTCGTACCTTGTCCTATGCTTCTCGAATCAATTCCAGGCCAACTAACTTCTTTTCACTAAGTTCAGTCCAACAGTAGGGAGTCCTACACTTTCTCCCATACAAAGCTTCATAAGGCAACATTTGAATGTTGATTTGGTAACTGTTATTGTAGGCGAATTCGACCAATGGAAGGTGATCCTCCCAACTACCCGCAAGGTCCATAACACAACATCACAACATTTCTTTAAGGATCTGAATAACTTTTTCTGATTGTCCATCTGTATTCGGGTGGAAAACAGTGCTGAAATGTAGCTTAGTACCCAAAGCCTCATGCAACGCTCCCCAAAACCTCGAAGTGAACCGAGAGTCCCTATAAGAAATTATGTACTCCATGAAGCCTTACAATCTCCTTGAAGTAGAGTTGCACTAACCTTTCCAAAATGAAGTTCATTCAAACTGGCAGGAAGTGGGCAGATTTGGTCAATCAATCCACTACTACCCAAACATCGTGCTTTTGTTGAGTCTTTAGCAACCCATTGACGAAGTCCATGGTCACCTTATCCTGTTGCCATTGAGCTATTTGAATCGATTGAAGAAGACCGGAGTGAACTTGATGTTCTACCTTAACTCGCGGACAAACTAGACATTTGGACACAAATTCATATACCCCTCTTTTCATAACTAGACACAAATACAGTTTTTGAAGTTCTTGGTACATCTTGTCACTTTCGCGTGCATGAAAAATATACTACAAGGAGTTTCACCAAGTATCCTAGCCCGCAATGTTGAATTAGCAGGCACGCAAAGTCAGTTTCGTAAATAAAACACATTCATGTCTCTTAACTCAAACTCTGGTAGCTCGCCTAAATGGACTCGCTCTGCCCTCGCCATCAAACTATCGTCTAACACTTGTAATTCCTTTACCTCTTTAACAAGCTCCGGCTCAACTCAGAGTTCTGCCACTAAGCCTCCATCCGAAGTCAAACTCATCCTAGCTAACAGTGTTCGAAGGTCGGACATTAACTTGTGACTGAAAGCATCAGCCACCACATTAGCTTTTCTCGGGTGATAGTTTATGACGCAGTCATAATCCTTAAGTAGCTCAATCCAACATCGTTGTCTCATAATCAACTCTTTTTGAGTAAACATATACTTGAGGCTTTTATGGATGGTGAAAATATATCACTTCTCCTCGAAATGATAATGCCTCCAAATCGTCAAGGCAAAGACTACAACAACCAACTCTAAATCATGGGTGGGATAATTGCGTTCATGCGGTTTAAGTTGTCGTGAAGCGTATGCCACTATCTTCCCTTCTTGCATAATGACGCATCCCAAACCATTTAACGAAACGTCACTGAACAAAGTGTACTCTTTTCCAAGCTCAGGTTGGGTTAGGACTGGTGCATGCGTGAGAATCTCTTTTAACTTATCAAAACTCTTTTAGCATTTTTCATTCCAAACGAAAGGTTCATCTTTTTAAAGAGTTTAGACATCGAAGAAGCAATCATCGAAAATCATTTTACGAAGTGACGATAATACCTAACAAGCCCAAGAAAGCTACGCACCTCGGATATATTCCTTGGTGATTCCCACTCTAACACGACTTGGATCCTTTGGAGATCTGCTCGAATGCCCTCGACAGTTACCACATGGCTAAAAAATGACACTTTGGACAACCAAAACTCACATTTGTTGAACTTTGCATACAATTGTCGTTCTTTGAGTGTTTGGAGCACAATTTGGAGATGGCAGTTGTGATCCTCCTATGACCTAAAGTACACTAGAATATCGTCGTTGAACACCACGATAAATTGATCCAAATAAGGGTGAAACACTTGATTCATCAAGTCCATAAAGGCGGCGAGTGCATTGGTAAGTCCAAATGGCATCCCTAGAAACTCATAGTGACCATATCTAGTTCTAAACACCATCTTGGCCACATCATCATCCTTAACTTTCTGCTAATAGTATCCCAACCTCAAATCTATCTTAAATAGCACTCTGGTTCCTCTAAACTGATAGAGCAAATCATCTATCCTCGGGAGTGGATATCATTTCTTGATCGTTAACTTATTTAACTGACGATAGTCTATATACAGTCTCATCGATCGATCTTTCTTCTTTACAAATAACACTGATGCTCCCCATGGTGATATACTTGGGTAAAAAAAACCCTCAGTCCAGAAGTTCTTCAATTTGCACCTTAAGCTCTTTCAATTCGGTCGATGCCATACTGTACGGGGTGATAAACACCGAGGCCGAACTGGGTAATACCTCAATGTTGAACTCTAGCTCGTGATCTGGTGGCAATCCGGGTAACTCCTCCAGAAATACCTCGGGGAAGCCTATCATGGTACGTATATTGTCGAGTGTCAGGCTCTGAGCTTGAGTGTCTATCACATGGGCTAGAAATACCTCGTAACCTCGATCGATCAATCTATGAGCAGCTAAGGCCGATATGATCCTAAAAGTGCCTCGAAACCCACCACTAGCCATCACTACTTTCGTACCATCCTCGCATTTAAGCTTGAGCTCCCTAGCCTTGCATATTAACCTCACATCATGTTCAGTTAACCAATCCATTCCAAAGATCGCATCAAACTCTCGAAGAGATAGCACCATGAGGTTAGCAGAAAAGACTTGACCTTGGATCTCTACTGGGAACCTACGGTGGACCTTGTCCACAAGCACATCTAGTCATAAGGGACTTGAAACTCTCATCTTAACCTTGAGATCTTCTAATGGAATACCCCACTCTTGGACAAGCTCATGAAACAAGTACGAATGAGTAGAACCAGAATCTATTAATGCGGTAACAGGAGTGCCATAAATATTAAAAATACCTGAGATGACATATATTGGCTCGTAGTCCTCCTAGGCCCTCACTGCGTTTTGCCTCGAAGCAACCCTAGCCTTAGAACCGACTATAGATCAGGTTGTGCCTCTACTCAGTTGCCTCGTTGCTGAACTACCACCCCCTATATACCGATCCTCAGCCCCTCTAAACTGAATGAACTAATCTCTAGAGAGTCGATGGTAATGCACTACCTACCTAAGGTCAGTCTCGGATAAAGTGCTATAGTGACCAAAATCGAAGCAAGCCTTCGTAACATGGTAACACTCTCCTAAATACCAATTGTCGTAATGCTTGCACTGTAAGGGTAGTGCTCCTCTACCAGAACCTCCGGTGTTCGCCATCGAAGCCGACGTCAAAGGTCTCCTACGCTGCCCTAAACACTAGTGGCGTCCCAAACTTTTTCTAGCCCTCCTAGACAATGACAGTGTGAATCTCCCTACCCCAAAAGAGTCCCTAACCCTCTTGGCCAAAGACTGCAATAGTCTTGAAGAATCCGGTGCTCTTTGACTCTGACCTCCCGAATGACACATCAAATTGGTCATCCTCAGCAAAATCCTCTCAATTACCTTGGCCTGAAGGGTCAACTTTACATATACTCGTGGGGGATCGGCGGCTAACTTTGTCTAAATGTCGATGTGGAGTCCCTATTTGAACCTTCGACAACAGTGGTACTCATCAACCACCAACTTAAGCGCATAACGACTCAGCCAAATGAATTCGCGCCCATACTCCATCACCGATTGATCACCCTATACAATATTGATGAATTGGTCTCTTAGATCATTAGTATGTGTCTGCCTAATATATTTCTGTCGAAACTCCTCCAAGAAGTACTCCCAAGTCGACCTCTCCGACTCTAAAGCTAGCTCAACTGTCTCCCACCAATTGATGGTATCACCCTTTAGTAGAGCGGTGATATACTTGAGCTTATCCTCAGGGATAAGATGCATATATCTCTAAGTACGGAGGGTCTCACAGAGCCACTGATCGGTGACTATCGGATCGTCTCCTAAACCATAGAAGTTCATGGTCTTATAGCATCTCAATTGCTCTACGGGTGACTCTTGAGGTGCTACAAGTGGTGGAGCGGGTAGGGAAAGTGTGACAGGTGCTCTCGAAATAGCTCGCACAATAGTTCTAAGGGCAGTGGTAAGGTCCTTAAAGAAGGTGGCCTCATCAATCCCTGCATCCTCTAGGATACCCATCTCATTGGTATCCGGAACAAACTCATTGCCAATATCTCTAATGAATGAGGCACAACTCTTTTCACGACCCTCCTGAATGTGATCCGAGTCGTCAGTCATATCCTAAAAAATTCAAATAAGATTCATTGTCGTAATTCCAGATAACCAAGTATACTGACACTCTAGGGGCATATACATCCCTGACACTTACTGACTCTAACTTGTGGGTCTTAAGAACGACTGAACCTGATGCTTTGATATCACTAAATGTAACACCCAAATCCGAATAAAAAAACACGAAGGGTTTGGGCATTACACGAGACCATCGAAGTGGCAAACCTTTTTTTTAAATCATTTTTTGAAATTTAATTAAAGTAAAATATGGTCATAGTAGTAAAGTTTACAAATGGGGAGCTCCAAAAATATTTATCAAATACAATAATCCAAGAGTTATGACTCAAATATAAAAAAGGTTTATGATAATACATGCACACTATAATAATCTAGACATACTTTGTTGTTGGTATTTGGAATCTGACAGTCTAGCGATATGATCCCGAGTCCGGAACTATCTCATCGATATTCAAAATAAACTCATCACCAATATCTCTAGCGAATGTGGTGTGACTCTCCTCACGACCCTCTTGACTGTGATCTGGGTCGTCAACCATATCTTACAAAGTTCAAATAAGAGAATCATTGTTGTCATTCCAAATAACCAAGTATACTGACACTCTAGGGGTATGTATATCGTTGCCTTTTACTGACTCCAACCAGTAGATCCTAGGAACGACTTAACCTGACACTATGATACCACTAAACGAACACCCAAATCTGAATAAAAGAAACCTAAAGGATTTGGGCATTACACGGGACCGCCGAAGTGGCTAACCATTTTTTTTAAAAACTTTCATTTTTCTGAAATGCAATACATCACAATTAAAGTAAAATAAGGTTATAGTAGTAAAATTTACTAACGGGAACTCTAAAAATATTTATAAAATACAAGAATCCACGAGTTATGACTCGAATAAAAAAGAGTCTACGATAATACATTCTCACTATAATAATCAAGACACTCTACTACCGCTGGTATATAGAATCTGACAATCTGGCGACACGCTCCCAAGTGCCACGAGCTCAGTGCCTACAAACCTGTGAACGAAAACAATTTAGAACGCTGAGCTACGAGCTCAATGCCACATAAATGACTCCACTATACTACATGTATCCATTAGCTACGAATGCTTAACAAGTTAAGTCATGATGCAACATAATGCAATAGGCATAGATCATAATATGTGGATATGGAACATGGCATCATAAGGATCATAATATCGTTACCATTATATAACGGAAGTGCCTTAGCACTAATACTAAAGTGCCTTAGCACTGGTAAGTGCATTCACACTGAATCAAAAGTGAATCCACACTAATACAAAAGTGTCGTGGCACTAGGTAAGAGAATTCAGACATCCCAACTCGCAAAATCAGATAGTACATATGCACGCTCAAGTAACTCAGATGTCCTCATTGTTTCTCGAGTGTCAACAAAGGCTATTTTTATGTCACATAATTTGATGTTGTTATTCATAAGGGTTCGATTATTATTATCACTTGTAACCTCATTTAAGAGCCTTCGATACCTTCATAACCCCCTCAGCAAACCCTACAAATTTGTTAAGTTTTCTACCCTACACAAGACGTCAGTACCAATACTGTACATGTCAGTATTGATACTGGCCTTAAAGTATCAATATTGACCCTAGTATCGGTACCAATTTTAGCTTTGATGTTTCAATTTTAATCCCAGTATCGATACCTTGATATAGAGTATTGATACTTCCCCGATGGTATCGATACCAAAATGGCATTCTTGAATCCTTATATTATCATCGATATCGATACTACCCCTTTGGTATCGATATTCAACCCCGAGTATCGATACTCTTTGAAGAGATATCGATACTCATTCTGTTGAAAACATTTTGAAGTTTCGATATAACAAATTAAATGTTATTGAATTTTAAGATTTTATAAATCATTTTTAAAGAATATTCGATTCAATTATTCGAATATCAAAATATTACTCCAAGTTTTTCAAAGATCAATTTCAATCCTTACTAAAGTGTAAAATTGTGTTTTAAACTTAAAATATTTTTTGAAACAATTTTACAATGTATTTTGAAACAAAAATTAATTTTCCAAAGGGATGTACCGATTCACTCCATGATGCACCCATTTCGAATGCATTTTGTGTACCGATGCACAAGCTATGCATCGATGCACTCTTGAAAATTTTGAAACATCGAATGCATTTTTGTACCGATGCACAAACCATGCATCGATTCACTCCTGGCTCTTTGAAACATCGAATGCAATTAGTGTACCGATGCACCCCTAGTGTATCGATGCACTAAGTCTTATAACGATCAAAATATTTGAATTTTACACATAGTGTACCGATGCACCTTGGCTATGCATCGATGCACACACGCTCCCAACTGTTTTATTAAATTATTTTAACACAATAACAACTCTATTGACTTCACCAATGATACCTAACGTTCAGAAGTGATTCAATATATATTTAAACAAGTTTAGGAGCCATTGATCAACAACAATTAAGAAAAGAAGCTAGAGAATAAAAGATAAAGTATAAAATCTCAAGTTTGAGCATTTCAAGCCAAATTTTCATTCAATATTCATTTTTTTCTTTCAAGAACACTTATTGTGCTCAATTTTATTCATTTTTTAGTGTTCTTTCTTTTTTCTAGAATTATACAAACATCTTACCTTGTGAGGTTTTTCTGTAAGTTTGCAAATTTGTGTATTTCTCTTTGGGAGATAGTGCTTGAGGGAGTTGTAAGGTTACTCTTTGTCTTCAAAAGAAAGAACAAATTAGTGAATTTGTTGGAAAATCTTTAATGTGGATAGATAAGGTAGTAGACGTAGGCTTTGATTGAAAAAGTCTAACCACTCTAAATCGATGTGCAAATATTTTCAATTTTCTGCAAAAGCTTCAACCAAAATTTTTATTGCCAATTCACCCCCTCTTGGCTATTTCGTCGATCGATTAACTCAACAATTGATACTAGAGCCTCATTCATTTGAAGGTTTAATTGCCTATTGAGTCGATTCGGGAGAGTTATATCGATATTCAAGTCATCAATGGCCTCCACTTCGAACTCCGACTTCGGTCTTGATTCTATGCCCGTCAACAAGCCTCATTTCTTCAATTGAGCTAATTATGCTTATTGGAAGAATATAATGAGGTATTTCATTCAGACAAGTGATATGAGAGCATGAAATATCATAGAAGATGAATACTTCATTCATTCCACTCATTCAAGATTGTGGAGTGAAGCAGAGATAAGAATGTTTCAGCTCAACTCAAAGGCTATCCATATTATTTTTTGTGCTCTTAGACCGGATGAATACGTGAGAGTTTCATCTTGTACAACTGCCAAGGAGATATGTGATAAACTACAAGTAACTCATGAAGGTACAGACGAGGTAAAAGAATCTAAAATTAATCTTCTAACTCATAGCTAAGAAAATTTCAGGATAAAACCGGATGAAGATATCAAACTATGACAGATAGATTTTCAACAATTATCAATGGTCTCAAATCATATGGAGAGATCATTCAAAATGAAAAGCTTGTGAGGAAGTTAATTTACTCTCTTCCAAAATCTTGGCAATAAAAGAAGACGACAATCATCGAGGCTAAAAACTTAAAGTCTTTAATTCTCGAAGAGTTAATTGGTTCTCTCATCACTCATGAAATAATGCTTCAAAAGGAGGTAGACCTTGAGAAGATTGACGAGACAAAGAAGGAGAAGGAGAAAAAGAAGAACATGAGAGTGCTCTCAAATCCACAAAAGATGAGAGTGATTCGGATGAAGATAACAATGACGAGGAAATGACATTATTTGCCAAATAGTTCAGAAAATTGATGAAGCCCAATCGAGGAAGAAAATTCAAGCGAAATGAAGGCTTTAAAACTGAATCGAAGAAGAAAGACCCGATCATTTACTACGAATGCAAAAAGCCGGGTCATGACAAATACGATTGCCCATAATTGAAGAAAAAGAGTCAATCAAAGAAAAACACAAGGCTCATGTGGCTACATGGAGCAATGATGAATGTTCCGATGAAGAGGAACAAGAAGTAGCAAACTTGTGCTTGATGACCATCGGGGAAAGCTCTCAGGTAACCTCTAGCTCATTTAATTTCGAAGATTATTCTTTTGATGAGCTATTAGAGGAATATACTGAGTTGGCTTCGGATTATGAGAAATTATTTTTAAAATACAAAAATGATATTTCAAAATTGAAAAATGAAAATAATCTCATATCTAAGACCAACAATGATCTTGAAAGTAAAATTAAAGATTTGCAAATCAAACTAGATGAGTTTGAAAACAAAAATTCTGATTTGCATAATTTACTTTCAAAGGTCAACGATGATCATCAAAAAGAAATTGATGATCTTAAAACTTCTTTTGATAAAGTTGGAACAAAACGTTTTGAAAATGGAGAAAGTTCAAAATCCAACTTTGACAAAAAAAGTTTTAAAAACTACAAGCATAGAGGTCCATGAAGAACCTCTAATGGAAAAATCGTTAGAAGTATATAGATTCCTAAAGAACTCATTACTACTAAAGATAAGGATATTCTACATAAATGGATACCTAAGGGATTAGAATTTTGGAGACTAATGAATATGGGCCCAAAAGAAATTAGATACCAAAAATAAAAAATTAATCTATATTTGTAGGGAAATGAGCATTGCTACAAGGCACGATAAACAAATTCAAACTCATAGTACTTTGATAGTGGATGCTCAAGACATATGATCGGAGACAAGAGCCGATTGATCGAGATTAACGACAAAAATGGAGGTGAGGTGACTTTTGGTGACAATTCAAAAGGTCACATTGAAGGTATATATACTATAGGTTATACCTCTTCCATACAAATTAAAGATGTTTTATATGTGAATGGGTTAAAGCATAATCTATTGAGTATTAATCAATTTTGTGATAAAAGATACAATGTCTTATTTGAAACAAATGGTTGTAAAGTCATTGATATTGCATTTAATCAGATTATGCTTGTTGGTCATAGAATATGAAACATTTACATGGTGCATTTAGATTCTATTAATATGACTAATTTATGCCTAGTTGCTAAGAATGAGCATGATAGTTGGTTATGCATAGGAGACTAGTACATACAAGCATGAGTGTTCTACAAAGACTAATTCAAGAAGATTTAGTAAGAAGGTTACCAAAGCTAAAATTTGATAAAGGTAAAATCTGTGATGCTTATGCTAAAGGAAAACATCAAAGAGTTTCCTTTAAGTCCATTAATGATGTATCAACTAGTAGAGTATTACAATTGATCCATATAGATCTTTTTGGACCAATTAGACCTATTAGCATGGGTGAAAAACAATATTGCTTTGTATTGGTAGATGATTATTCTAGATATAGTTAGGGTTCTATTATTAAGTACTAAAGATGAAGCATTAGAAAAATTTATTATGTTTTCAAAAGTAATCTAAAATGAAAAAGGTTACTCTATAACTAGCGTTAGGAGTGATCATGGTACTGAATGGTTAGAACCATGCTTTGTGAAAACAATATGCCAAAATATTTTTGGGCGAAAACCATAAATACCGCTTGTTATGTTATTAATCGAGTAATGATTAGACCAATTTTAAAGAAAATCCATATGAACTTTTCAAAAATAAAAAGCCTAACATTAGCTATTTTAATCCTCTTAGATGTAATTTTTTTGTTTTAAACAACGGTAAAGAAAATCTTGGCAAATTTGATGCTAAAAGTGATGAATGAATTTTTCTGGGTTATTTCTTAAATTATAAAGCTTATCGGGTATTTAATAAATGAACTTTAGTTGTAGAAGAGTCTATACATTTTGATTTCGAAGATAATCCCCTTTCGAGGAAGGATTCTTGTGTGAATGATGATGTAGGTATTGTAAACACAAATGGCGTTAGACATGACTTTAAAAAACCATCATCAAAAGAAGAAACGAAAGATGAAACTCATGATGTTCTCAAGAATCCAACCATTGAAGAAAGAGAAGTCTCTTACCCAAGAGAATACAACTATGTCAAGGATGGTG